CGAAAACCCGATCGAACTGGCCGAACCGGCCCGCCTAAGGTGGTTTTGTTCAGTTTTTATATTGAAAAATCTAAAATCGGTGAAAAAAACTGCCCGAACCGGATCTAAACCGGGTTGGACCGGTTTAATTATATCCAAACCGGCGAAAACCGGACCGACCCGAATATTTTAATTATATTATTAAAATAAATAAATAATACAAGTGTCAACAGATGATTCGTCAATTTTATGACATTTCTACTCCTTGCCACACTCGATCCGGCGAAACCCTAAACATTTGAGGGGCTTCCATTTTTTTGTCATTCCGTCTTCAGCCTCTTTCACTCAGTCTCTCTCACTCTCAACCTCCTCTCCCCAAATCCGCCGCCAGCTTTTTCCAGATTTCTTAATCGCTCTCGCTCTCTCTCTTAGTCGCTCACGATCTCTCTCTCTCTCTCTCTCTCTCTCTCTCTCTCTCGCTCTCTCTCTCGCTCTCTCAGTCGCTCGATCTCGCTCTCGCTCTCTCAATCGCTCGATCTCGCTCTCGCTCTCTCAATCGCTTGATCTCGCTCTCTCAGTCGCTCGATCTCGCTCTCGCTCTCTCAATGGCTCGATCTCGCTCTCTCAGTCGCTCAATCTCGCTCTCGCTCTCTCAATCGCTTGATCTCGCTCTCTCAGTCACTCCCGCTCCAGGTTTCCATTCATTTTTTAATTTCTCTTCATTGTTTTCGTTTTGTGTCAGTTGTCATGGTCATCTTCTGATCTTCATCCTTCTTCCTCACTTTAGCGTGACCTACTGAGATATTTTTTTCTTGGGCATATCAATAGGAAGAAGCTGGGGCTTGGGCATATCAATGGTGGCTAGCGGAGTAGCTGGTGCCTGTTTGGTTCTTGGGAGTTTCTTCACTTTATGGTAAGGTACTCTGTTTTGGTATCAATGGCCCTTTATAAAAGTGACCACTCCTTTAGTTTTAACCTGGTAGATGACATAGCTGATATGTGAACTTTGTAGTTAAATTAGCTGGCACACTGATTTCTTTTATTATTGAACTTTGTAGTTAAATTAGGCAGAGCTGGAGTTGGAACAAGAATCTGATATGTGACTGCGAATGAATGATGGTATTTGTTCCTAATTCATATGTTTACTAACTGTTTTTTCTTTCTTTGTGCAGAGGTGCAAATCTGATTTGAATATGAAACAACTCATGGAATTGTATGTGTATATGTAATGGAAATTTATTTGTTTTTATTTGGATTTTCTTTTGAACTTTGCAAATATGCAAATTGTGATTGAGATTACTCTCACAATTTGCTATGGACTGTAATAATAATTAATTTATGTATTTGGAGATGTGTGGTGGGTGATTATTTGCTATGGTTTTAAGGTTTTTTTAAGTATTTGAATGATGAAAACTTCATATATGCTGATTTGTCAAAACTGGAAAAACTATACAGAAACTGTCAAAACTTGAATTGTTGAAATCTGACAAAAAAACTGAATGGGCCTGGAAAACTAAACAAAAAAAAGCTTTCAATTGTTGCCTTTATTGGGCCTCGGCGAATACCCGAACCGAACCAACCCGGCCCGATCAAATCGGGTTTCGACTTAAATCGAAAATGGGCCTAAAAAGGAGGTCCACGGTTTAGCATTTGGGCCTGCCGATAAGGTTCGGTTCGGCGTGCGGTTTGGGCCCATAACCGACCCAACCCGACCCGTGCACAGCCCTATACTTTTTAAAACGTGTGTAGATTTTTTTTAACAATTGTTATTTAAAATAAAAACTTTTTGCAATTGCTTTTGTTCTTCTATAATTTTTTTCAATATTGAGCGTTAATTGCAATAAAAAAAGTTGTCAAGAAAATAAAATTGTAAAAAAATATATAAAAGAGAAATACAATTATATATTTATTTTTTAATAAATTAACTTTTTAAGTCATGTGTATAAGGGGCCCAAATTATTATAAAAAAAATCCTATATGAAATGGATTTTAGAAACACACCCAAAACTTATTTACAACATAGCCCAAATTATTTAAAAAAACCCTATATGAAATGGATTTTAGAAACACACACAAAACTCATTTACAACATAACAAAAAGGCTTTTAACTTCTTATAAATTACAAAACTCTCATTGATTTCTTAAAACAAGCCCAACCCCAAAACCTCATAAAAAAAACTCAAAACACTCAATAGGGCATCAAAGTAATTTAATAATCAAAATTAAATTCAATAGCAACAGCTGTCATTATTTGGGTTTTATTCATATTGGGGCTACATTGAAACCTTAGGGCCCGTTCGGTAACGTTTTCTTAGAATATTTTCAGAGAATGAAAACAAGAAAATGAATTTGCATTTTCAGGAAATGAAAATGCATCTGGTAGATTAATTAGAAAACAAAAACAATGAAAATGTGTCTGGTAATACAATTTGAAATAATAATATGTGAGTTATTTTTATGAAAATGTTTCCCATGAGAATGAAAACAACTTTTTTTTTGTTTTCTACAAGTACACATGAACTTGTTTTCATTTTATGAAAACATTCTTAGTGTTTTCTGATTTTGGGCCACCGAACATGTTTTTGCCTCATTTTTGTTCTCTGAAAATGAAAACAACCCTTTAAAACATTACCGAACAGGCCCTTAGTGTAAACTTAGTTACACATCATGTTTAAAATTTTAGTGCACATAAGGAAGAAGGAAAATTGAAAACTAGAGAAGAAAAACCCTTGAAGTTGCAGGCTGCGCTCTTAGTTTCTCTCCTATGCTTCTCTAGCATGAAAAATTGCTCTCTATTTTCTGGCGTGAAAATCCTCTAGTCTAGCGCCAAAACATATACATGAGTGAAAAATTGGCTAACGTCTCTTTCTTATGGGCCCTAGGAAATTCTTTTCCTATATTGTTTGAATTTAGCATATTGAACTGGGATTCTTGCCCAAAAATTGACGTCAATTAAATGGGGAGTTGCTGAAATTGCTGATATGGCAATTAAGACTCCTAGTTGCATGAGGAAACTCATTTTAATGAGTATTCTTAGTGTGATTGGATCATCCCAAAGACACACATCTTCACTTCCTAATTAGCATAGGAAAAAGCCTCTAATTGTCGACCATAACACTTCTGTTCTTCCTCCTCTGATTTTCTGTAGAACAACTAAAACAAAGTAAACAAATGCAATATACTTAAAATCTTAGTAAAATAGTGCATGTTAGATGCATATAATTATATATTTTTTCATATCTATCACGAGCCATGAAGGTTTTGCTGCATCTAGGAGGTCCATACATCAGAGCCCCTGTAGGGGGCTGAGTCCTTATCTACTTGAATGCATCATGGTGTTTTTAAGTGTAAGATTTATGTCTTGGGGAAACAAGAACTGTGAGCAATCCCACATCGCTTGGGGAGGGAAAGGTGAAGTGCTTTATATGTGTGGGCACTTCTCTTCCTAGCAAGAAGCTTTTTGGGCAAGATATCATTAGCTTGAGCCCAAGAACAAAACCGCGAGGGGGGAGGCCTAAAGCGGACAATATCTTGCTAAGGGAGTCGTGTCGTGACAAATGGTATCATAGCTGGACCCCGACCGGAAGTGTGTCAGCGAGGACGCTGGGCCCCAAGGGGGGTGGATTGTAAGACTCGTGTCTTGGGGAAACAAGAACGGTGAGCAATCACATCGCTCAGGGAGGGAAATGTGAAGTGTTTTATATGTGTGGGCACTTCTCTTCCTAGTAAGAGGCCTTTTGGGCAAGATAACATTAGCTTGAGCCCAAGAACAAAACCGTGAGGGGGAAGCTCCAAAGCGGACAATATCTTTCTTGGGGAGTCGAGTCGTGACTTTGAGGCCATATTACAGCTTCCATTAACTGATTTTTTTACCTCCCTTTGACCACCAGCATCTTCCCAATTAACCTTTGAAATTGCAAGTTTTACCTACAAGTTTAAAGCAACAACTTAAGAGTCAGAGCAGTTATATCAGTGAGAACATTCCTTCATATAGCTGATAGAAAAGTTTCCTGCCAAGTGACGGTATAGGGCAACATAATTTATGATACCAATGGCCACTTGCATTTTTATTAAATGGTTAGTCCAAAACATGGGCCATGATATAATTAAATAATCAAACCACTGAAAATTTCACATTTTGAACTCAGAAAAGTACTCTCTTGGAATTGTCAATCTAATGAGAGAAAAAATAAATAACTCCTATTGTCTTATGTTGGCGAGTACTTATTCGCTTAGGATTTTGGTTACTTACCTATTTGTCTAGTCCTATTATAATTGACATTTATTTCCTATTTTATTTAGGGTTGTATTTCTTTATAAATACCTCAATATCGGAGAAGAATATATAACTGAATATTTGCTCTACTTTGTTTGACATGGTATCAGAGCTAGGTTTCTTATGACCTGTGCTTAAGGGTGAAGCTATCTACACGGCTATAGTGGGTTGTAGCCCATGTAGGTTAAAAATTCATGGCTTCGCCCTTGCCTGTGCTTGCATTCTCCTTGCAATTTAAGTGTTCTCCTCCCCTTATCTTCAATGGGGGAAGGGGAGTGAAAATGATATGTTTCTCTTTCCCATGAAGATATTGCCTATTTCTTGACTCCAATGACCCCTTCTCTTTAGGGGGAGAGGGGGAGTGAATATAAATTGTGTCTGCATGAATTAGCTAAAATTTATATGGAAGAATTTGTTGTTGTCGTTTTCCGTTTTCCATTATCGTTGTCGTTGTTGTTGTCATTGTTGTTGACTTTTATTTTAGCTAGCCCACCAGTGGAAAAATTCCTGGCTTCGCCCTTGCCTGTGCTTGCATTCTCCTTGCAATTTAAGTGTTCTCCTCCCCTCATCTTCAACGGGGGAAGGGGAGTGAAAATGATATGTTTCTCTTTCCCATGAAGATATTGCCTATTTCTTGACTCCAATGACCAATTCTCTTTCGGGGGAGAGGGGGAGTGAATATAAGTTGTGTCTGCATGAATTAGCTAAAATTTATATGGAAGAATTTGTTGTTGTCGTTTTCCGTTTTCCATTATCGTTGTCGTTATTGTTGTCATTGTTGTTGTCGTTGATATCGTGTTGTCGTTGTTGTTGTCATTGTTGTTGTCGTTGATATTGTCGTTGATCTCGTCTTTGCTTTTGCCTTGCCTTACATTGCCTTGCCTTGCCTTACCTTTATTTGCCTTTACTTTGCCTTGTCTCTTCCCTTGCCTTGCTTTACATTTGTTTTTTGCTTTTGCATTTGCCTCGAGTATGGTGTACTACGCCTCTCTTGTCAAGTTCGGCATGCAAAACATCTTTGCGCCAACTTGAGGAGGAGTGTTGGCGAGTCCTTATTTAGTTAAGATTTTGATTCCATTATCGTTGTCGTTATTGTTGTCATTGTTGTTGTCGTTGATATCGTCGTTGACCTCGTCTTTGCCTTTGCCTTGCCTTGCCTTGCCTTGCCTTTATTTGCCTTTGCTTTGCCTTGTCTCTGCCCTTGCCTTGCTTTGCATTTGTTTTTTGCTTTTGCATTTGCCTCGAGTATGGTGTACTACGCCTCTCTTGTCAAGTTGGGCATGCAAAACATCTTTGCGCCAACTTGAGGAGGAGTGCTGGCGAGTCCTTATTTAGTTAGGATTTTGGTTCCTTACTATGTTAAGATTTTGCTTACTTACCTATTTGTCTAATCCTATTATAATTGAGATTTATTTCCTATTGTAATTTAGATTTATTTCATATTTTATTTAGGGTTGTACATCCTTATAAATACCTCCATATCGGAGAAGAATAGATAATTGAACATTTGCCCTACCTCCCGCATGGCACTGGGCCTCACTCTTCTCCTGGCGTTTTCAAAATCTTCAAAAGCCACTTTTAAGACACATTCTTCTTCTATGCCATTCAGAAAAGAGTTCTACTATTTCCATCAACCTCTCCTATTTTCTTACCCACCTTGTCTTCAAAATTTTAAAGATAAATTTACCCATTTGTAAAATGACTTCTAAGGACTTAGGAAAAAACCCCTTCTCCCTCACTTTTCTTCACTCTTGAAGCTACCACTTGAGGATGGGGCATATATAACGTATAGCTTTTTTTTCTTCTCTATAATTTTGGTTTTCAATACATGGTACCGGTGTATGTATCTGGACATGGATTCTTTTTTTATTTTTTTGGGTGGTTGAGTATATTGATTCATTCATTCACGAAGGAAGATTGAAGAATCAAGTTTTCATTTGGTTGCAAATTGTCATAGTGGTTAATTACTTTTGGAAAGTTAGGTGAAATAGCATGTGCTATAGCATCAAGCTCGTTAATATATTTTAGTTTGTCTTTTACGTCTTCAAAAGGACCTTTACTTGCATACATTGCTTATTAAACAAAACCTTCTAAATTC